GTCGCGTGTGAGAGGTCCACTTCGAACGCGTGCCTGGAGCAAAGCAGGGAACAACCTAAGAATCACCCAACGAATCCAAGCCACCCTGTAGGCCCTGCTACACCACCAGGACAAAAGTTGTGCCTCTTGGGCCTTCTCAGAAAAGGCAACCCTTTCCCGATAGAATCCTGCAAGTTGTTGCTGGGTCATTCGCGGACGAATTGTCGCACTCCAAAGCCTTTAAAGTATTTCATATTTAAAAGAGGGTGAAAATTGACCGTCCCACTCCTGCCACACAAAAAGGAGTTGGAAATTTGACCCGAGGCGTAAACTTTTGTCCTTCTGATGTATGAGGAGCCCTGAACAAACACGTGGGACAGTCCAATCAGAACATCAAAGAGCGTCCCCATCATTGCTGCCTGCATGGGCTTCCTCCCTGTTCCTCCTCTCTCTCTCTCTCTCTCTCTCTCTCTCTCTCTCTCTCTCTCTCTCTCTCTCTCTCTCATGATGCTGATGGATTACAAAATGAAATCATGGATAGACTATGCTGTTCTATCGGACTCGGGTCACCTCAAGACTTGGGCGGCAAGATGAGCCAAGTCTCTGTCACGCTTGCCTTTGTTTGTTTTTGTCCTGCTGAGGAAACAATGGATTTGGTGCGGATCCGATTCCAAGGGCACATCTACAATGTTCCAAAGGGACATTTGATACAGTACAGCTTGCTAACATCTCTTCCTTGGCAACCAGCGTTCAAATCTTCTGCTGGACCCAGGATCACACAATACCAGGAACACCGCAGAAATCGTGGGCAGGGGGGGAGAGGCCGGACACATGATACACTTTCAAACATGCTGGATTCTCTTCCATCCCGGAACCTTTAGTTCAGGATATCCTCCCTCGGCTTGCAGCACAAAGAAGGCAAGTTCTGGCCTGAAGAAGTTGAAGGCGAAGACATCCTGGACCAAGTTTGTGACCATCTTCAAGGGGAGCCACAAGTGCCTGGGCGAGCTGAGCTGGCCAGCCAAAGGTAGCAGTTCCCGGCTTGCGGCAAATATGGTGGACCCCACCCGACTCGATGTTGCCGACATGCCATGGGGGTGGCCAATGAACACTCCCACTCCCCCACACAAAAAAAAAAGGAAAGACATGGGCTCGAAGGACCGAGGCACAGGGAAATGTCCCTGACCAGGTCCTGCGCGGACACCCCCGGCGGCGCCTGGAACCCCGGCACGTGGTCCGGGCTCTGCGCGATGGATGGCATGGTTGCGGATAGCAAATCCCCTAGGACCGCAGGGTGCACTCAGGCGGCGCCATGGATGCACGTTAGCCCTGAAAGAAGGAACGGCCTGCAGAAAGAAAGGGCCGATCGTATGCTTTGGAGGACAACTGGTTGGGCTGATGCTTCACAAAACTGCAACGCTGGAAAGCGCACTTTGAGAAATCAGTCTTGAACGGCCCGAGCCAGAAACGAACAGCTCTTAAGGCTTCTCGCCTGTTTGCAGCAAGGCTCGGTGCGCGTAGCGCTTGGGGTCGTCCGTGTTCAGCCTCGGGTTTGGGGCAAGGCTAAGACCCTGGCGCCGAAGGAACCCTTCCCAAAGGCTCAGGACGGGCCCGAAGTCCATTTTTGGGAGGCCTAAAGTATCACTCATGCCCAAAGTGGAATCCAGCGCCCCCACATCGCACCAAGGGACTGGAGAAGCGTGGGCAGCACGCCATCGGCAAAGTAGCCTGCCAATGAGGAGTGCAAGCAGCCATGTTTGCCATACTTGGACAACGTGCACAAGCCTTCACCGCAGCTCCTTTTTTTTGCGATGCGCAAAGCCACCGTATGAAACTAGACCACTGTTGGCCCGAAAGCATCACAGCCCCGTGACAATTCTGCGCAAGTTGCTCTGCGCAAGTTGCTCTGCGCAAATTGCTCTGCGCAAGCTGCTCTGCGCAAGTTGCTCTGTGCAAGTTGCTCTGCGCAAGTTGCTTTGTGCAAGTTGCTCCCTGCAAGTTGCTCTGTGCAAGCTGCTCTGTGCAGTTGCTCTGCGCAAGTTGCTCTGCGTTAGTTGCTTTGCGCAAGTTGCTCTAACGGCGCTCTGCGCAAGCTGGTCTGCGCAGGTTGCTCTGCGCAAGTTGCTCTGCAAAATGGTCTGTCCAACTTGCTCTGCGCAAGTTGCTCTACGCAAGTTGCTCTACGCAAGTTGCTTTACGCAAGTCGAAGCCCGCCCGCGGACCAGGGGGGAATCGAACCCGCGACCCGCCGGTCCCGGGAGCAGGAGGGTTCAGTCTTCGCGACAGGTTCGATGGCTCTGCAAAGCAAAGCGGCTAAATGCCTTGCTGATGCGGTTGTAGCATCAAAAGGTCTCTTCTTGGAGAGGTCGATGTCCAGGAAGCTGCCAGCGTCTGCGTCATATCTGGTGGTCCTGCAATCAGAGCAGTGTATCTGGGTGAAGTTGTCCCTGGCTTCCTGAGAAATAGTCATCTGATGTCTCAGCTCCATCCATTCTGTTTCCATATCAGAAAGAGCGGCCAAGAAGTCCTGCATAGTGCATAGACTCATCCTTGAACTCAGTCTGGATTTCTTGGATTCAGGGGAGGTATGCTCGATGAAGAGTCGCTCTGCTGCTGTATTAACTTCTGCCATGACTCTTGTTGTTCCGGGGTCATCTGTACCGCCGTGAGGGCTCAGTCTTCGCAGCAGGTTCCATGGCTCTGCAAAGCGAGGAACAAAAACGGGGCTGGCTTGTGCCAAATGCCTCACCGCAGATCTTGCCCAACCAAATAGTGCAAAAGCAATGAACCAACCAACTGAACCCTCCGCAATCCTCCGTTTCACTGTTCAGCTTGTTTCACCGAAACGGGTTGGTCTATCCCCACTTTTGAAGCATGCGCACCCCTCACGCCTGGCGGGGATGTGGCAGTCTCCACAGAGATGAACTTGCTGATGTCTCGCTTGGCGGTCCTGAGCTCTCAGAGTCGCGAAAGCAGCCGGCACCGTACGGAGAACCGTCTTGAATCACTGGGCCGAAGCCGAAAAGGCCATGCTACGCTCATCGCACCCACTGGACAACATTGCCGAGGCTCGGGTTGTGGTGCACCTCCCTGACCTTCTCGTGGGTGACCCGCGCCAGCATGTAGGACGATGCGATGTTGTCCGGGTTGGGAACTGCAGTGCCGGGCGCGCTCCACTCTGCAAAAAAATAACGTGGAACATCGTAGCGTCATTCGGGGTCAATCACTCTTCATGGGTCCGCAAAAAGCTCCAACACCGACCGATTGTTCTCTCTCTCTCTCTCTCGCTCCCTCCCCTTCCCTTCCCTCACCGGGAGGCCGCGCAGAGCATGAGCCCATCCCCTTTGCTGTACGCATCTGTGGCGTCCACCAGCCAGGGGTTCCACACTGGTCCCACGCCCAGGGGACCTCCAACGGTCCAAAGCCAGGAATACTGGCTCTAATGCCCAAACACTCGCTTCCTAAATTGAAAAAAGGGAAAAGCTAGAAAAACATACAAAACATAAACGAGACAGGGAAAAAAAAGGAAAGAAACAAACAAAACAAGCAAGAAAGAACAGGAAGGAAAGAGAGAAACAACACAAGAAATAAGAATGCAACATGAAACAAACACAAGAAAGAAAACGAAAACAAACATCAAAGAGAAAGAAAGAAAGAAAGAAAGAAAGAAAGAAAGAAAGAAAGAAAGAAAGGAAGAAAGGAAGAAAGGAAGAAAGGAAGAAAGGAAGAAAGAAAGACAGAACGAAAGAAAGAAAACAAAAAAAAGGAACAAAAGAAGAAGAAAAAAAGAAAGAAACACAAAAGAAAGAAAGACACAAAAAACAGACAGACAGACAGACAGACGGACGGACAGAGGGACGGACGGACGGACGGACGGACGGACCGACAGACAGACAGACAGACAGACAAAGAAAGAAATAAAGAAAGAAAAACAGGAAAGAAACCGGGGAAAAAAGGAAAGGAAAGAAAGACAGACAAGAAAGGCAGAAAGAAGAAAAAAGAGAAATAATAAAACGAAAGAGATCAAGGGAGAAAGATAGGAAGGAAAGAAGGAAGGCAGGAAGGAATCAAGAAAGAAAAGAAAAGAAGAAAAGTAACAAAAAAAAAAGAAAAGAAAGAAAGAGGAGAAAAAAATAACTTGAAAAAACAAAAGAAAGAAACAAATAAAGAAACAAACAAAAAAAGAATGAACGGACAAACAAACGAACCAACGAACGAACGAACGAACGAATGAATGAATGAATGAATGAATGAATGAATGCATGAATGCATGAATGAATGAATGAATGAATGAATGAATGCATGAATGAATGAGTAAATGAATGAATGAATGAATGAATGAATGAATGAATGAATGAATGAATGAATGAATGAATGAATGAATGAATGAATGAATGAATGAGTAAATGAATGAATGAATGAATGAATGAATGAATGAATGAATGAATGAATGAATGAATGAATGAATGAATGAAATGAATGAATGAATGAATGAATGAATGAATGAATGAATGAATGAATGAATGAATGAATGAATGAATGAAAATGAATGAATGAATGAATGAATGAATGAATGAATGAATGAATGAATGAATGAATGAATGAATGAATGAATGAATGAATGAATGAATGAATGAATGAATGCATGAATGAATGAATGAATGAATGAATGAATGAATGAATGAATGAATGAATGCATGAAAAAATCCAGAAACAAGAAAGGAAAGGAAAGGAAAGGAAGGAAAAGAGCAGAATGAAAATAAAAGAAAAGAAAGATAACAAGAAAGCTAGGAAGGAAGGAAATAAGGAGAGAAAAAAAAGGGAAAGAAAGAAACAAAGAAAGACAGAGAGACATACAGAGAGACAGAGACAAAATTTGTCAAAGGAGAGAGAGATGCCAAGTGGTTGAGTTCAACGCATCGCCGGTGGGCACTTCCGCTCACCTTCCCCCCGCCTCCGACCTGCCAAATGCGGGGCACCTGGCCCAGCACGACCAGCGCCAAATGAGCCAGGGGCACACCATACGTGTATGTGTCCACAAACTTGATGTAGGCACCTGCCGATCAGCCACAAGAAAGTCCGGGCTGAACAGGGATTTAGGGGCTGGTTTGTTGTTTATGTATGTTCAAGGGAACGCCTGCTCCAACTGTCCAGCCTGTTGCCTGCCAGGTTCGTTGTGCCTGCAACGCTCTTTCCTGCAAATTGTTGAGAGGGCAGACTGCTCGTTGCAAGCACCTCTTACGTCACAATGACAACTCCCTTGAAAAGGGGCGGACTGCACTGCATGTTCAAAGAGTTTAATGTCGAAGGTGCTACAGTGCTTAGATTATTAGCGCAACGTGACCTTAACAATGCCGCCTGAGACATTAAGCTGGGAACCCTTCACAAGCACCTTGATAAACACCGGCGATTGCATTGTGTTGCACGCTAAGCAATTGTTGCTGCTCATACTCTTTGACCACCCGCACGCAACGCGAGAAGGTAATTGATTGCCTGGCCACCGAGGATTCAAAGAAAAAAAAGCTCTGCCTATGTGCACCTGGTCAATCTTCCCCCGAACATGAACATTGTCTGCCATAGTTTCCCTTATGATCTCCTCCCTTCCCGGACCCTGCGGGGCCAGGCGACGCTCCACCTGCGGCACGCAGAGGCAGCCAAACAGAAGCGCCAGTGCCGTCAGCAGCAGGACAACCAGGCGGCAAAAACAGCCGCAGCCCATTGCTGAATGCTGCACCACAGCTTAACAAGGCAATGTGGTGCTCAAGTGGCCAGGCCCCGAGAAGAAACATCTGGCTCCAGCTGGGATCCTGAACAAAATTGGTTCCGTTGCTGGCATTGATGCTTCTTTCTTTGCTTCTAGTGCCTTCAGAAAAGCAAATTGAAGCACATACTTTGGAGAGTGTCAGCATTCAAACATGATTACGATGTTGATAGCCCCCAAAGCAAGCTTCGAGCATTTGTCCAGCATGCGGCAGGGCGCGGCCGCTAGCACCAAGACTGCACCTTCCAAGATCATGCCAGATTGCCAAGAGATAATCAAACAGCCATATGTCCATGGCAGCCACACACATACTCTATTTATATATATATATATACGTGTGTATATATATATATATTATACATATATATATATATACATACCCGAATGTGTTCGGGGATGTGCCATGCCCTCGTCTTGGAGAGTCGGTGAGTCTGAACTTCCCTATGATATTAACTTGCGCAGTGTACTCCGCACTGGCTTCTTCCTGACACTCAACCTTTTCGCGTCTTGTGCATCTCGCTTTGTTTTTCCCTCAAAGGCACCAAATACTCTTCTACCCTTAGCATGCCGACAGCACCATAGCCCTAGCCTCTACTCCGACTTCTGCTTCGAGCCGAATTTTGAGCGTCTCCGCTCGCAGGAGTCTCACCAGAGCCTTGACTGGCCATTGACATTGCCTGCATTGCCTGCATTGCTGGCAGCATGTGCATCATGGGCATGGCAGGCATCATCGTGGGGAGCATGGGCATGCCCGGCATCATCATACCTGGCATCATCATGCCTGGCATCATCATGCCTGGCATCATTGGCATCATGCCTGGCATCATTGGGCTTGCCCCCTCCTCCTCCTCCTCGGCCTTCTCCTCAGGTGGAGCTACTTCTATCTCAGGCGGCGTTTGTCGCTTCTGCGTGAAGCGGCACTCCTGGCAGGAAAGTGCAATCAATCTCACCCAAAGAAGCACAAGACAATGCCACACTCTCAGCAGGCGCCCGGTTCGGGCACATATTTTATGAACCCGGCCTCAATGTAAGAGTCTGTCAATCGCTTCAATTTGTCTATCGCCACGATCTTGCCTTCCGGATTGAGCGTTAGGCAATCTTTCAGCTCCACGTAGGACTCTTTGTCCTCACTCCCAACCCGCTTGTCCACGATCTTCCCCTCATATTCAATGAAGGTGTCTGGCGCCAGCTTGTACTTGATGATCACGTAACTCCCCAGCCTTTGCACTCCCAAGCCCCAAAGTCCCAACTCCCGCATCAAGCATGGAATCATGCTGGGAATGCGCTGCTTTTCATATTAAGTGCCCTGCCGAGTGAAACTGTGCATGTTCAACAGCAACATGATGCACACGAAACCATTCAATGGCGACGGCCATTGGCTCAAGCGCTGGAAAAGCGCGACCTTTTTGCATAGACATAACCATAGGTTATGAGCCCAACCTCTCTGAGGTAAAGCCATGATTCGCAGGCGCCGGCGAGAAGTGGTACGAGATGGAGAAACCGCGGATGAGGCCTTGGACCGCCTCATCATGGAGCGGGCGCAGGAGGAAGAGCGTGCATCGCGAAGGGCAAGGTCGGAGGATCTGGAGGACCGGCGGGGGATTCGCCGGGTCACCGGTCCGGGAGCGGAGGGAGCCCAGGAGTGGGGGGGACGTTCTTCCCCCTCCGGCGCTGGTGCCGGAAATGGCGGAAGATGGACTTCGCGGGCAAGGAGCTCTACGGGGTCCCCCTGGACAAGGAGAACGACCCGGCCAGCAGGAACGGATTCTGGAACGGCCAGGTGATTCGAGAGCGGGGTGAAGGTCAATCTCATCTCGGTGGGTCTCGAGGGCCTGGGTTTGGCGGACAACCTGGGCCAAGTGAGCTATCTCAGGAACTTCAAGGACGTTCTGGGGCACACGGCGGGCACGATGCTGTAGGACCCCAAGGGCAATTCCTGGCTGGTGGAGAAGGCAAGGACATCCGGGAGTAAGGCATGGTCAGGATTCGGGTGAACCTGAAAGGCATGGTCAACTGCGTGGACTACTTGACGGGCGTCCTTCAGCTACCGGCTCATCAAGGTCGAGGCCAGGAATGGAGGCAGTTGGAGCCCTATGATGGTCGGGAGACATTGCGTGGAAATCGGAGAGGTCCCTATAATCCTGGAGATGTGCCGGCAGGTGGAGGGGTGAACCCGTTTTGGAGCCCTGAGGTTCAACGAAGGGCAGCCCAAGCACAACCTGAATCTGCTGGCAGGGCGACCACAGAAGACCGAGGACGACAACAAGGTCAAGAAGAAGATCTTGAAGCTCTTCGACTACGGGTAATGAGAGACGCGGAGGAGATCTTTGAAAGAGAAGTGGCGAGATTGCAGGCGGCAAGAACAAGGGACGAAACCTCATCCACGACCAACGCGGCCAATCCAACTCAGCAAGCTCCAGGACTCAAGGCCCTGACAACATCTGGAACCAAGGATCCGGCCGCAGAGACGGGAGACCAGAAGAAAAGGTCCTTCGGGGCACCATGCAGGTTTTGGGGCACAGATGGAGGATGCAAGAAGGGTAGCAGTTGCAGCTACGCACATTCGTGGGACCCTGGAGAAGAACAACCGTTGCTTTGGATGTTCTGGGGTGGGCCACTCGAAGCGGGATTGCCCGGTCAAGAAATGGGACTGGGGCACGAGCAAGACAACAGCAGCTGCCGCTCCCAAGGTGTCCAAGTTTGAGAAGCAGAAGGATGGAAGGTCTTCTGGAGAAGGCCCTGGCACAGGCAGTGAAGGGGCCCGACAGGTTGGCTCACCGGGCTCCGCGGAGGAGGCGTCCCGGGAGGTCACCGGTCGGATTCCCAACACCGCACCGCCGAATTCGGTGGCCATGGGTGGAGGAACACCTAAACCGCCGCAAGATACTGCGGAGGCAGCTGGGACGTCTGAAGTGGCGGGCTTGCTGAAATCGCTGAGATCGATGAAGGCCCTCCAGATCAAGTATGAGGCAGCCAAGAGAAACGCTGGGGAAGCTGAGGATTTGGAACCGGTCGCCCTCCTGGACGGAGGGGCGACGCATGCCTTGAGGCAAGCAAGATCGCACGAGAAGAACAACCTCACGGCGGTGGAAGTGGAGTTGGCCTGCGGAAGCACGGTGTTGTACAAGCACCCTGGCACGTCGGCTCTGTTGACGCTGGATCCGGTGGAGCCCATCATACCACTGAGGATGTTGGTCAATGCCGGCTTTGTGGTCAAGTGGAACGCCAAGGGCTGCATCATCGATCACCCTGAACACGGCCGGCTTCATTGTTGGTTTCGTCATGGGTGCCCGGTCATGAAACGGTCAGCGGCGATGAAGTTGATGGATTTCCTGGATGCCCCGGATGGGCATGCTGCGGTGACCACGGATCGGGAATGGTGGCTACAGCAGTTCCCGCATCTTCCGGAGGAGGTGCTGGAGTTCATGGGCCGAGTGGAGGACGGAACAGAAGCAGCTGCCCGGAGCCCTTTCAACAGGGGCTTGAGAAGAAGATGGGAGAAAAGCAAGGGGCTGGTGGTCCACCTCTTCGCGGGAAAGGACGCCAGAGAATGGAGGCGCGAGGATTGGAAAGGCTATGAAGTCATCACGATTGACATGGAGGAGAACGCAAGCCAGAACCTGCACGATGCAGCCTTGTGGGGGGTATCTCTGGTACCTCGCGAAGAAAGGATTGATCCGGGCCGTGATCGGTGGCCCACCACGCCGAACTATCTCAAGGTTACGGCACAATCCGCCGGGACCGAAACCCTTGAGGGGTCGAGATCAACGTCGTTATGGATTGCCAGGTTTGTCCATGGAGGACAGAAGGAAGGTCAACGGAGACACGGCCCTGTTCTTCAAGCAGATGGCCCTGTGGTTGATTGCCGAGGACTCGTCTTGGAGGAAAGGGAACCAGGTTGGGTTCCTGGGGGAGTCTCCGATGGACCCAGCCAAATATGATCCAAGGGCAGAGGAGCTCGACATCCCTTCGTTTTGGAACTTCGAGGAGGTGCGTGAGTTCTGTCGGGATCATGGCATGATCTTGGTTGACCTAGATCAAGGGGCCGCGGGCCACCACGGAGGAAACCAACTACGCTTGCGACCAACCTGCCCGGCATGGGGGAGCTTCATGGACTTAAGGGTCCTGGCCATCAAGAGATGGAGGCGGACCTACAGCGACGGTTGGTGCAGACGAAGACCTGGTCGAAATGGGCCCCTGGGATGGTGGCAGCGATCAAGAAGTCCCTGAAGGTGATGATCGATCAGCTGGAGGAAGGATCAAAAGAAAAGGTAGCGGAAACGGGGGAGCTCAAGAAGATGACCCTTGAAAGATGGAAGGAGCATGTGAAAAGGGGACACGCTCCGTTCAATCGGAGGTGCCGGGTTTGCATGCAGGAGGCAGGCATAGACCGGCCCCATAAGGTTGAAGGCCGACATACCGGCTTATGTCCTCAATGTGGATATTGCTGGCCCATTCTTGGCTGGATGATGCAGGCACCGGGAGAAAGGTCAAGTATGCCCTGATCGGAACGGTACCTGTACCTCTTGCAGGAGGAGATGGCGGTGACCTACCAGTAGAGCCGGTCGAAGATGCAGAAGAAGATGTGGTCTTAGGTGAGTGGGAAGAAGAAGATGAGCAGCCACGCGCTTCAGATGACGAGGCAAAGCGGCTCAACGAGAAGGTCAAGGACGAAATGGCCGAGGCGCTCAAGGGGGTCAAGGTTCAGAATGTCACCATGACGAAAGTCATGGAAACCCGAAGTGCGACGGAGGTCATCAGAGCCCTGAACCTTATCTTCGTGAAGTACCGCAGCTTAGGAATCCCGCTCTACCGCATGCACTGCGACGAAGCAAAGGAGTTCCTCTCGAAGCAGGTGCAGCATTGGTGTTTGGAGCACGACTTGCTGCTCACCATGACATCTGGAGACGATCATGCAGCGAATGGAAGAGTGGAGACGGAGGTCAACCATGTCAAAAGAAGGCTTCGCGTGGTGTTGAAGGGGTCTGGAGCCCCAGCGAAGTGGTGGCCTGCAGCCCTACGTCATGTGGTGCTACAGCGAAATCAGCAACAGCTTGAAAGACCTTCCCGCTGCTCCCATTCTACGCTAAGGTCATGGTGAAAACGAAGAGATGGCATAAGAAGGGGGCGGGGGGATCACTTTGGTCGCAGTTTTTGGATCACTTTGGTCGCAGCTGAAATCCACTCACTTTGGTCGTAGTTTGAGCATTTGCGGATCACTTCTGTCGCAATTTTTGGATCACTTCAGGCGCAGTGGAAGATAGCTTTTTGAGCACTAACAACAGGACACACGCAAAGGGTGTTGCCTCTCAAACACCTAACAGCAAGACATGCCGCGTGGGGTGGGGTCGACAAGGATGTTGCCTCTCAAACACCTAACAACAAGAACTGCCGGGTGGGGTGGGGTCGACAAGGATGTTGCCTCTCAAACACCTAACAGCAAGACATGCCGGGCGGGGTGGGGTCGACAAGGATGTTGCCTCTCAAACACCTAACAACAAGACATGCCGGGCGGGGTGGGGTCGACAAGGATGTTGCCTCTCAAACACCAACAAGACATGCCGGGCGGGGTGGGGTCGACAAGGATGTTGCCTCTCAAACACCTAACAACAAGACATGCCGGGCGGGGTGGGGTCGACAAGGATGTTGCCTCTCAAACACCTAATGCCGGGTGGGGTGGGGTCGACAAGGATGTTGCCTCTCAAACACCATAGTCAACGGCGAAGAAACTAGGACCGAAGCGAGTAAGGAAACTAGGACCGAAGCGAGATGAAAACTAGGACCGAAGCGAGCCAGCAACTAGGACCGAAGCGAACCCGCGACCTAAGAAGGGGCCCTTGGCATCACCTTTTCGTGAAGTACGCCTACTGGGTCCGAGCGCTTTGATGAGCTGGGGTTGGGTGGTGCAAACCAATGAGGGGACCATCCAGCATGCAAGAGCTGCCATCTTGCCAGATGAGGAAGCAGACAGGGCGCTACGAGCTGGAGGTGGACAACAATCCTGGGAAGCCAAGGCAACGGTTGACCGGGAAGCAGCAGATAGCACGTGGGCCACATTTGGGGGGAGATCCAGACCATGAAGAAGCGGTACTGCCTCAGGAAGAAGAAGAAGGCCCCGCTTTACGTGAACTGCAAGCGGGGGGGGAGTACTACACCGACCTGCAGAAATTCTGGGTAATGGACCAAGGAAGAGGAGAATTCGAAGAAACTCTGGGTGCCTATCAGTGGGGCTTGAAAGAGGTTGGCCGAGGAAATCAAGGTCGTCCCCATTGGTGAGGAACTTGGATTTGCGCGGTGGAATTCCTCATGGGTGGCATCAATCAGCTGGAAGACGACCTGGGGAACCTTCAGAAGGACGAGAGTGAGAAGGGCTATCGGATGGCCTTGTTGAAAGGAGGTTGTGAAGAGGAGCCAGAAAAGGTTCTACAAACGCGCACCGTGCCGCTTCAGGAGGTGAGAAGAGATCTGGAAAGCTGGAAGGAAGCCATGACCGACGAGTACAATGCCTTGGTGAACGGCACGAAGGTGGTGAAACCAGTGGACGAGAAGGATTTGGACGGCATCCCGGGCATTGAGAACGCGGAGTTTGCCCCCGGGAAGCTGGTCACAACCATCAAGGCTCCGCTGGGCAGGAAGAGAGCTCGGGCGGTGATTTGCGGTAACCTGTTGACGGATGGCAACGGTGAAAGCTCGAAGTCAGCGGTGGATAAAAAGGAAAACTATGCGGGAGGCATCGACGGCACGGCTTTGAGATGCGTCCTACGGAAAACGGCACACGAGCGGTGGGACCTGGCCACGGTGGACGTAAAATGCGCCTTCCTATTAGCACCTCGGCAGGAAAAGAGGAGGGTCCTCATCACGAGGCCAGCGGGCATCGTTCCGGCTTCGGAGCGTTGGCTTGTTCAAGGAGCCATGTGCGGTCTGGAGACCAGCCCAGCAGACTGGTCGGCTTTCAGAGAAGCATGAGGGCCGGAGCTTCAAGCTGCAGCAGACCACAGAGTCCAACGTGTGGGCGGTGATGGAGCAGAAGAAGGAGATAGATGGACCACAAGCTCCTTGTGGATACGTCGTGATCTACGTGGATGACTTCCTGGCAGCCGGACCTCGAGGCTTGGTGGACAGTATCATCAAGCGGATCAATGAAGAATGGGTCTGCAGCCTGCCGGAATGGGTTCATCATGAAGGATGGACCAAGTTCTGCGGTATGGAGTTGAGATGGGATGAAGATGGAGATCTACACGTGGCTCAGCCCTCCTACATTGCGGAGCTGATAAAGAGGCACAACGTGGAGTGTGCTCGACCGATCCCGTTCAGCAAGCCGGAGATCCCCGAGAACCCGCAGATGACGCCAGAGGCTATTCGAGCGGCTCAGGGATTGGTTGGGGAGCTGCTATGGTTATCGGTGCGGACGAGACCGGATGTGTCCTTCGGAGTTTCTTGGATGTCACAACATGTGACACGATGTCTGGTCAAGGTCGGCATGGAGATGATGGCGTACTTGTACGGCACGAAGGAAATGGGCCTGAAGTACGGGTGTTGCAGGGGAGACAGGGGGCCAGATGGAGGTTTGCCGTTTGCGAGGTCGATGAGGAGATTAGAGATGTACGCAGACATCTCCTTTGCCCCGCTGGGTGATAAGAGCCATCAAGGCGTTCTCGGTTTCTCTGGTGGCGCCCTGGTTCAGTGGGAATCCAGCCGCCAGCTGTTTGCAACCCTTAGCACAGCGGAAGCAGCACTGGTGGGCTACATTGAGGCCATGATCATGGGTGACTCCCTCTGCGCGGTCTTGGACATCATGGAGGGTGGCCACAACGGCGGAGGAATCACAGAGAAGGTGATATACGGGGACAACACGGCGGCGTTGGCCATCGTTCAGAATCCAGATGGGCCGTGGCGCACACGGCATCTTCGGCTGCGTGCCAATGTGTTGCAAGAAAGAGTGAGAGGTGGAGAATGGCAAGTTCGACATTTGCCAGGGTGTGATGGATGGAGTGAAGCCATCGGGCTCCAGAAGGGCCTCACCAAGGACACGGTCATGAAGGTGGCAGCTCTGAGTGGGCTCATGGGGATTGTGGCATGTTGGAAGCCGCAGGATCCCCGGTCTCACGCTGTTAAGGAGCTTTGTCTGGCGGCTCTTGGTGTTGGGTTAGGATTTGTGTATAAAGGCCATCGGGCCCAACCTGCGAGGGAATCAAGATCGGGTAGGGATGATGAACCAGCCACACATCAAGGCAACTTTGAGGGAAGGGTTGCCAAGATGGTCAGGGAAGATGAACCGACCACACCAAGGGACCCCTCTGTTTGGGAGCTTGCCACCAGGGATGATGAACCGGTGGAAGCAAGATCCTCTGTAAAGGAAGATCGCCAGGGAGCATGAACCGGCGACATCAAGATGGGCTAGGGAAAATGAACCAGCCCCGAGGGTAAAACCAGAGGACCCCTGCCGCATGCCGTTTTACCACTGCCCTACGGGCTGCCCTGCATCAATAGGTAAGGGTCAGGTGCCGATCGAGGCACCAAGTGAGCCATGGCCTGAACCGCCGGGTGGTCCAATTCGTGGGTCATTGGATGAGGAGCCTGAGGACTTTTGGGAGGTGACGTTTGAGCGAGACTTCATCGTGGCGACCCGCATCCATACCTGGACCAACCAAGGGCACTTTTTTTGCGACTCTCTGCAAAAATCCGTGCATTTCCTTGAAATCCATACATTTGAGCAAAAACTGTACTTTTCTTGCAGGCTCAACATAAGACACAGGAGCATTTTGCTACCTTTTTTCTACAAGAATTTCACTTTCAGCTCCGGCCATGGCACTGGAGATTGTCATGCTCATACCATTTGAAGGTGTGCAATTCACCAAGGACAAAAGGTGCCCATTTCCTCAAGAAAATGTTCCGCTGATTTCCGTGCATTTTCCGCAGATTTCCGTACTTTTCCCGCCGATTTCCGTGCATTTCCCGCCGATTTCCGTGCATTTGCGGTTTCTGCATTTTGGCTGAGAAAACTGCAAACTCGCAAAAGCGGCAAGGAAGCTGTCACACATTGCCCCACAGCAATTGGAGACGAAAGACCTGAAACGGAATTAAGTATGACTGGCCGTGTAAATTGCAAACTGTGTTCATGTGCATCCAAGTGCACCACAAACGCTCACAGCCTGCAAACAGCGATTTCCGTCAAATTTCCGCAAAAGTGTACATTGACACTTTTTTTCCGCATGTACGGAAATTTCAGTACTTTTGGAGGGTTCAGGTATGCTGAGGAGAAACCGGGACTTTCAACCGGATCCGAGGAACATGCCTCCGGGGGTCAACGCTACGATGCTGGAAAGCCGGCGACAGACCAATTTGGTTTTCGTCGACATCGGGCGCGGGCGGCGGGTGATCAACGACAACTGGAGGATGGATGCTTTTCGCGAAGCAGATGCCTGGACGGGGTCTACGACATTTGTGGCCCCTCTGCGGGGTAATGTGAGCTTGCGGGACCTGGGAATCACTTCACTACCGGGTGAGCGTGAACGAAGCCGCAGTCCGAGGGATGACAACAACCCGGATGATGCGGGACCCGCCCGTCCTAGGATTGGGAACACTCACATCAGGGCCCCAGGCGAGCGAGAAGTTCGACCACGGCTACGAGCTTTGAGGTGGCTGTCAAGGAAGCCAATAGTGGAGGAGAAGATTGAGGAGGAGAAGAAGCAGGATGATCAAGAGGAAGATGTTCATCAGGGTGGACCAGTACTCCCATGGGAACTCGACCAGTACAAGTTCCCCCCGGTGCTCAAGAGCAAGAACAAGGATGAATGGGATTGGTCTCAGCCAGGATGGGCAATCCGTGCACGTGGAAAACCTCGGAAACGCAAGTTCCACCCGATCCACGGAGAATTCCCGCTGGATGCAAAGAAGTTGGAGTCGAGGAGGATCACGGTGAGGCTTTACACGGGCACATCGCCTTTGGGCATTCGGTCCATAGAGGAGGACAGCTGGACAGCTCATCAAGAGCGACAACGGACCTCGCAAATGCAACAATGGCGAGGATACACCTTCTTCCAGATCAAGGTCGGGAAGGAGACGAATTCTGGCGGGTCGTCTGCGAAGGACCGTGGAATCACTTCGAGGGGCATCGATCCAAGTGCGAGGGGCTCTGGGGACGGATCCGGAGGCTACGCGCGAGGAGGCCGAGAGAAGCGTGGGAAGGATGCGGGCCCGGTAGTCACATTTCCAAAGGCGAAGGCTGCCGGACGAGGGAGAACTACGCGGGCGAGCACTATGGAGGAAAAACCTCCGATTCCATCGAGTCTTCCGGTAGCAGATGGCGCTGGGGATTTGGTGGAGGAATCTTCAGCTTCTTCTTCTGAATGGGAAGAAGTTTAAATGCAGCTGAAGGCTGCAGGGGGAGTGTGCATGTTCAACAGCAACATGATGCACACGAAACCATTCAATGGCGACGGCCATTGGCTCAAGCGCTGGAAAAAGCGCGACCTTTTTGCATAGACATAACCATAGAAACAAACCAGCACCCTCTGTGGGAACATGTTCCCCTCACAGCCAAAAAAAGACTACAAGTACCTGCGTCCGTGCCGCTTGAAGCCTTTGGTGACGAAGCGCTTTTTGCCTCTGCCAGCAGGTCCAAAGGTCTTCATGTAGCCTTGATGGCCACCCAAAGGGCCGGACATGGCTTCCGGCGCCGGCCCAGGCCGTTCAGGGCGCCACTCGGAAGGAAGCTAAGATAAAGCAACGAGCTATGAAGATGTACAGTTTTATAAGCACTCATACTCATTGGGTCAGTGTTCGTGCTGAGCCAACCTCTACCAACAAAATTCCGGTACATGAGGTTTGCCTAGTGGGGTATTTGTGTAGCAAAGCATGGAGAACTTGTTGCAACCGAGTTGATCTTTCTTGGAGCCAACCAAAGTGAGTCACGTGACATGTTTGACGTGTGCCAATGTATCCCAAATTCTGCCAGTCAGAGCCATGGCGACCAGAGCTCTGGCCCATTGTGGCGACCCTTCCGCAAATTCGGCTCACAGCTCGTGATCATGGCCTGTGGCTTGCAAACACCTCACTCATTCCTGTTTTTGCTGCCAAGGTTGACAAGAGCGCAGATCCAGATTGACATTGGAGAAAGCGTCATGTGAAGGAAAAGGAGTTTTCGACACCCAAAGAAAGGAGTCTTCAGAGTTGGGTCCCGCATGCCCCGCGACTAGCCGCGCGGCACCCGGGCGGCGTCTCCAATACATGAACACACAAAAAGGCAGCACTCATTTGGTTACTGCCCGAGCCTGCCGACATAGGCAGCATAAGACTTAGCGAGCCGCCGGTCTTTTTCCTTGCCGGCGCTGGGGTTCAACCATAAAGAAAAGCGGTTAATACAAACAGAGCACAAGCAACACGACCTCTCTGGGTCGTAACTCCTGTAGCGCTTTCCGTCGCCTGGACTGAACACACAGGAGTTGGTGAGCACCTATGGATGAGCATCAACATGGCATATTGAGCCGCTGTTCCTCAGCCCCATGGTGCAAAAAACCGTGCTTGAGCACCCAACTGGGTGTGCAAGCGCTCAATTAGGCACTGTCGCGCAGCATGCCTTCCGTCCATCTCGCCAAGACTTGAGCCACCTTCCCTCCGACGGCAGCCACCTTCTTGCTCTTCACAAAGTGCTCCTGAGCTCGGGGACGGACAAAGACAAAGAATCGCTGGCCAGAGGCTCGGCGAGCCAAAAGCGCAACTCTGCTGCCCAGTCTCATTGACGAGGTGGCTGAGCCCAAGGCAAATGGCAAGGTAGATCCTCAGTGCAAGTCTCGGGTCCATAGTCAAGAGCAGCATGCAATTACGTGGCTACCTGTTCCTGGCTGGTCCCCGGCCCCTCCGACCCGGTCCGACCCGGTCCCCTAAGTTCCCTGTCAGAGTTTCAGTCTGACACGTTGGCTTCCAAGGCACGGGAAGAAGCCCGTGGGCATCGGCGCACCCCAGAGCTTCCTAGCCAGCACCTGCCAAGCTGCTTCTCGCGTTTGCTGAAGCCGGCTGTCCAAAACACGCACTTCCTCCGGTTTCAAGCGGCATGCAAAAGAGAGCTGGAATCGCCACGAAATTGACGATCCAGCCAGCTTGACTCGGTAAGAAACCTACTCAGTAGCATGTGATGCAAACATGATTCAGAAAAATATCTGGCAGATTCAGACAGGTCTGAAA